CAATCCTATTATCTGCCACGTTTCTTTTTTGAGCAGAAATTATATTTTATTAATTCCATAAAAAATCGATTAAGAACTTTAAACTTATCTTGTTATAAATTAGATATTTCTTTCAATGTTTTTAAAAATAAAATAAAATAACTTCAAAAACAATTCCTTATAAAAGATTGATAAAGCTGACTGTAATTTTGGTTTTATGTGTAAAGAAGTTATATGCACAAATTTTACTTAATGAAATTAATACCACAATTACTTTTATTAAAAGTATTTTAAATAATGTTATTACTGATTTAAAGAAGGTTATTAAAAAATGAATCCATACAGATTATTCATGTACAGATTTACCAGTTTTTATATACAATTCCAAAATTGATTAGACAACAGAAGATGACGTTTGGCACTAGTTTTGAGGTCTAGTTTGCGGGACCAGACCTGTGACTGGACCCATTACCTGACCGAAGACCATGAGAGTCAACATAGAGAAGTTAACATGTAAATAGAAAATAAAATCATGTAGCAATGAAACATGCTTGAAATGTTCTAGATGTGGTTGTGAATGTGGTGGCTTAAGTGTAGCGATTAAGCTAAACCGTGGGTGCAGGTCAGATGGGGGAAGAACTTATTTGAAGATATCCCAATCGATTTGACATATCAGCTAAGTCGGAGATTTCTCAATTGATTGCTGCATTGACAGTGAAGCATAGGGAAAAAATGGACACAATAGTGTTGTTAACTTCAGGAGGGGGGATTGGAATAACATATATGGCACAGTAAAGCCCAAAGATGCAGTGTTGAAGCACATGCACAATCCATAACAAGATGATTTCCTTAGTGATTCTCGTATTAGAAATACCATTTCTGCAATGAAGAGTAAATATAAGAAGGATGGTATAATGCCCAGTATAGTACAACCATAGTATAATCCATATAGATTTCATCATGCCTTATTTTAATCAATATTTAGTTTTCTTTCCATTTTAGAAGTTATGCCAAGATTCATTCATTGAGACCTATTGAAATAACCCTTTATCACCAGTTTCCGGAATGACCTCCCTATTGATCATTCTAGGTTCAGTTACTAAAAGGTGCTGGCCTGGCTCGTCTGGCAATTGTTAATTTATTATAAATCCATTAACCCTCTCGCTATCGTCAGATCAAAGGGTGCATGTCATGATGTTTTAGTGAGTTATTTTCAAGATCTAGTTAAAGAACATTATTATTCTTTTATGTTAAGAAAATTGGCATTGCAACATAGTTTCTAGCATTTTTTTAAATATTTTCTTTTGAATTAAGAAATTAAAATATATATAATATTAAAATTAAAATTATATATGCTTCTTTGTATATCACACGGTATGTTTTCTTGTCTTATTGCTGAGTTTATATATTATAATGCCTACCATATAGTGATTGACAAACTAGAAACTCAAAAGTTCAGACATTTAAAAGATAGAATGTAAAATAAGAACCTCCCACCTTTTTGATTTGCTGAGATATCAATATATTTTGCAAACTTACCAGGCTAGCACCTCCCACTTCACCATTCTTTTGAAACCTTTTATCTACTCATGCCTACTTCTTTTAAGTACATGTTGATAACCAATAGAAAGAGCATGTCCCAAGCTACGTAAGGCTGACAGTCATTTGTAATTGAATTAAAGGGGATAAACCTTGTAATTTCCTTGGAAATAGTTAAGTCTGTTGACTAAGTTATTACTCTGAACAGAAATGAGATTTCTTTAACCCACATATAGCATAGTTAGAAAACCAGGTAAATTACAGTGGTTTTGTGTGTGCTCGTATAGTAATTTGATAAATTTTCGGTTTTCTAAAATGCATCTTTGAAATCTACAAAAGTTGATTTGTTTTCGCCTCTCCACTTCAAAGAATATATGAGGCTTAGCTAGTATGACAAATAAGTACAAATAAATTTTGCTAGAAATAATTGTTTTTCTATGTGTTTTTTCTTTATTTTTCTATGTTTTAAGAAAAGTAACCAAAAATTAAGCATTTATGAGTGAATAATAATAATATATATATATATTTTCATAAGCACTTACACACCTTGTATACCTATATTGCTAAATTCCAACCACCCTGGGAGAATAACTAACATCCAAATACCTACCAAGATTATTGGATCGACCAGAACTTTGTACAGAGCCATATCATAATTATTTTATTGCACTTTTATTATTTGAGACAATTGTCATTGCAACCACTATATGGTAAAGAAGTTGATAAATCCTTTCCCACTGTGTTCTCAGAGCTGAGATTACGATAAACTCTGTGGGAAAACTCTGGTAATTGTGGCACACAAACCTATTTGGTATCCATGGTGCCATAATATTGTGTCACTTAAACAGTCTTAATGGCAGGAGCAGTGATTCATTGCTTTATGTTCAGCAGGTTTCTACTTCAGCCATTAGCAGTAAAATAAACATAGGAAATAGATGTGAAAAGGTTAGTATTAGAAACTCTCGGTAGAAGTACAGTAACACAATAATTCTCATTAGAAGTACTTTGAAACTTCGTGGTCAATACTATAAAAGATAGAACAGTACAATCCACTTTATTTTGCATTGTTGAATCTTAAAAATGTTATGTGGTTATGACCTCGTATAGAGGTAGGATAGAGAAAATAACAGATAAAATATAAAGCTTTTCTCAAAAATAACATTTGATATTTATTTGGAAGGTTTTAGAGATTACATAAATTAAAAGTGAAAATTTTTTGATTAAGAAAAGTATTTTTAATTTTAACATGAAAATCACTTTGCACTTAGAGCACTTAATTCACTCTGATTGACAGACAATTTTTTAATAAAAATACTTAATTAAAACTTTAAATTTTTTGATCTACAAAAGACTTGTAATATTTAATAAAAGCTTGAAGAAAATATGTTGAAGTTATAAAACTGATGGTCATTTTGGTGTCATTTTATCAGTGTAATCAACCACTTTTAATTCTTTCACTACTGTCTCAATAAGGTTTCAGAAGATTGGAGATAAGCTAATATCACACCAATTGTTAATTACTGGCTTCTTAGTCTTTCTTCAGTGTTTGGGAAATTACTAGAGTTTATATTACTTGAGCATATAGACAAGTTTCATATTGTCACAGGTAGTCAGCATGGATTTAGAAAGGGAAGATAATATCTTATGAATTAAATGGATTTAAATTGTTTGAGTGTTAATGGGAACAAAATTGCTGTGGATTAATATTACGTGTGGTGTACCTCAGTATTCCGTGCCATGTCCTTTGCTATTTCTCATTACTCTTAGTGACATAGATAATGGAATAACCAGTAAATTGATTAAATTTCTAGAGGATATTAAATTAATAGGTATTTTGACCTGTACTAAGATGCTGTAGTTTTGTACAGAGATATGAACTCTTTTTCATAAGATGAGCTAACGCTTAGCAGATGCTATTTAATGTTGAAAAAAAAAGTAAACTTATGCATATTAGCTATATCCAGACTTGTGACTTTTTCATGTATTTGTAGATTTCTGTGTTTTGACTTAGTGTAAGTCTGTTAATTATAAAAATGTTCCAATGAACATTAAACCATAGATTAAAAAATATTTTTCTTAAGTCGTAAAATATTAATATGTCAAGTTCTACCGATTGTAAAAAGTAGATAATTCTTCAGAAACAAATACATCAAACTAGACAATATGAATTACTTTGAAATGTTCAGCAACATCCGATTTGTGTGTTTTACTATGAAGCATAAAATTTGTCTCTTGAGAAGAACAAAATTTCTGAAAAGAGTAACTAAGATGGCTATTGTTGAAAGTACAAAATCAATACTTTAATACATTGACAAATCAAGTAAAAACAATGAGAATTATTAGAGAAAAATATGACTGTGAGAGTTAGAAAAGATACATTTGTACATCTCTTTCCAAACATATCTGAAAATGCATCTTAAAGTGTAAAAAATGCTTGAAATTTTCTGAGGACTCCATTTCTAAGTAGTTAATCAATAGTATTACAAATTAATTATTCTCAGATTTTTGAGGAGGAAGATGTAGATGACGATAGTAAGAAAAAAGATCGTGGACATAACTATTTCAAAATCAATATGATACCTTACCTCTGTTCACATAAAGTTTTTCCCATTCAGTGCTGTCTTCTATATGTAAAATTTTTGCTTGCTACTCTCCTTGATACTCCCATCTACCCCACATGTTTAACATAGTACAGCTGTGCTGTAACATGCAAATAAGCATGAGATAACCTTCCACCAATAGGAATGTGACACACCATCCTGGAACAACTGACTCCCTCTATACTGTAGAACCAATCTTCACTTCTCAATTTGGCAGAGTAGCATGAAGACGCGTTGTTTCTGTATTTGTTTTTTCTACTTGTGTTACTTTTGAGTTATGAATTCAAAATTTCAAATCACAGCTACTACCACAGTAGTTAACACTACTACTGCACCTCAACCTGCAGTTTCTCAAGCTTCAGGCTTGACACTTTCAGCTGAGTACATCTCAGTTTTAGTATTTTGTGAATTATATGGCCTGTGGTGTCTCCTGATCCCTGACTAGATATTGTTTTTTTTCTTGGTGAACCCAGACAAGATGATGATATGAATAGTCTTTTTCCACTTCCTTTCTTTGCCATGCAATGCAGGCCTGGCATGGCATGGCCAGTTGATTAGGGTGCTTGACTTGCAATCTGAGGGTTGTGGGTTCAAATCCCTGTGCCACCAAACATGCTTGTCCTTTAAGCCGTGGAAGCATTATAATGTGACAGTCAATCCCACTATTCATTGATAAAAGAGTAGCCCAAGAGTTGGCAGTGTGTTGGCTTTGAACTGTATGTAACTGTTATTCATGACATTATATGCTGTAAATCACTTGGAGAATGTGCAGCTTACGTTAAGCTATCGAATTACATTATGCATGAGCTACTCGTAATCTGCTAAAGAACATACATTTTGAAAATTCTTTATTTTACCTAATCTACCTCAACTAACCTAAAAATTTTCCTATTTTTTCATTCTAATTAGCTTTATAATAATAAATAAACAATACACATGAAAAGCATGAAATAAAGTTCTTACCTGGGCCCCCTTTTTTTTTGCTATTGAACACTGAGGACACTTAACCCTTCTTTTTTATACTAATGGTAGTACTGTACTAAATTTGTTTTATTTAATTAAATAATGCACCAAAAAACACAGAATAATAACATGCAAAAAGCAGACAACATCCCATAAATATCACAATTTTTCTGACTTTCTAACTGTGACAAGAGCAATTACGAATTTATCTAAGCTAGTCGACTTGTTTCCTGTGGGAATAAAGCTTGAACTGAAAGTGAAATTGACAATTTTTTGTACAGAGAATACCATAATATAGTATTGAACATCAGTGAGAACTATTGGCAATTTCTGAAAAAGAGGATGTGACAGGTGGGCATGGCAAGAGGGTTTTAATTTTCTATTTTATGGTTCCATAACCAAATAAGATTAAAAGCAGTGAAAATTATGATTTGTCTGAGCAATGACGACACCATAATTAGTAGTTTATGTTAGATTTTGTACCTCTTGGAGGGGTGATAAGTCAGTTAAGAAGAGAGGATGCCTAGAGAGAAAATGTCACAATTCTCATATTAGAAGAAATTCAGGACTTTTTTCAATATTTCGCTAAAAATTTAAGAACTTAAAACTCATATGCTATTAAAATTTGGATTATTAGCTACGTTTTTATTCCAAACTTATTTGTAAAGCATGATAAGAAAGTAAATGAAGGTTAGTTATGAAGGTAACTCACTAAAACCTTGTGACATGTGCAGAAAAAGATGCTCATGTAGAGAGGGTTAATACGAGACAAAATGGTCATTATCCATTCCGACAATTCGATTGTTATCTCATATAAATTTCCAATATAAGAGAGGTTTGTAAATGTAACCTGGAAGTAGGATAATAGTAGAAAATACGAGAGCCCTAAATGGGTTAAATAACTCCTTGTTATCCATTGGAAATTAAACAAACAATTCTGCTATTTTTAAGGCCTGATGTGAGAAAGCATTATTAATAGCAGACAGACCATCTGTTGTATTTGATCATATTGAACATTCAAACACACAATAACAGTAACTTGTACAGTAAGAAGGTTCTGATTTTAATTACTACAGTATTACTACTCATAATATTGGGTCGTAATGAGGTTACAGTTACATTCAGTAAAGCAATTTCATTTTCAGAGAATGTTACAGAATTGTGATGATGAGGGCAAGGTCTGTGGTTGGTGTTGTGTTAGATTTTTGGTACAGTGAAGTGGATAAAATATTAATATGGACAAAGGGGAGTTTCTGGATATTTATTTAGTGTTGGCTATATGAATAAAACACAGTATGTCTCACTGGTAAGTGTAGGAATAAATGACTGTAACAAATATTTAAAAATGGATGAAAACTTCAACTGTCTAAAAGAAAAACAAATGAACAAACCTTAAAAGCACAAAAAATCTGCATAACTCCTGAGCCAAGAAACTGTTACAATACGACAGAAGTAGAACTCCTCAATTCTATAAATTGTTGAAAGTTCATAAAACACTTATGAAAATGAGTTTCATAATGTCAATATATTTTTCCGTTTTTATAGTCTTGACAAACATCAGACCTGCATTATTTTATCATATAGGAACTCTGATATGATCATCAAACACATCTCACATTTCAGTGGTTCCTTAATGTAATTTGATCCTAAATACAAAGTGGCACATTTTGATGTATAAAATCTCTATGCCCAAATTCCAAGAGAAGAAGCCTGGTATTGAACCAGTTACCAAAGACCATATCTCACTTCTGCACACAGAATATCTTCATTCATTCATTCATGCATCTGCCAAAAGATTTACATACCAATAGCCTTCAGCTACCTCTGACCTAAAAACACGTATTTAATGTTGAATTGCACTAGTGCATGATATCATCATCATCATCATGCAATGATCGCTCTCCACCAGGTGTGCTCGAGTTAACTTTATTCTTGTTTTCATCATTGTTTAGAATGGATTTGTTCCAAAATAATTAATTAATTACTTGAGATTTGTGATAGCTTATGAATGAGTTAATTTTTGTTCAAGTTCAGCTGATTTATTGTTTGTGTTTTGCATAATAACCAACTTGGTTTCTTTAATTTCACTTATAAAAAATAAGTGGTTACTCTCCATTATGATTTCTCAAGTGATGTTAACTTCCATTTCGTCCAATGATAGTGGCATTATTCCTAAAACATGACTAGTGTATACTGGGAGCACTATCTAGACTGTACCTTCCATGGACTATCATGGAGAAAACCAGCACCAGGGAAGTGACTACCCACTTCTTTCGCTCACACTTACGGGGTTTTAGAAATAGGGTTTCTTTATCACCCTTTACACTGTCTTCAGTAAACGACATTTACAGCAATCATCCAATGGGGATCTAAGTACTTCTCCAAGTCTCATCTATGCAAATTCTTGCTAACCCACTCCCTTCTTCAAGTGGTGTATGGGAACCTTTGCCACTTACCAGCTCTTAGCCAATGAGGTGGCAGGCCTTGAAGAGTTGTTCATCTTTGTGTATAGCACAGTACTGTGGGAAGTAATGTGATGGTGACACTGTCTGTGTAGTGTTAATCACTTCTCAAACAGCTATTATGTCCTCCTCCTGCAAGAGGATGAGTTTATCAACCCAATCTGTCTGTCAAGTTGAGTCAAAGTCAGAAACACACACACACCGCACAGCCTTATCGTTCCCTAACCACTCTACACTTTTTGGCCCTATTCCACCTAAGGCTCTTTTGCCTATCCTTCTGGATGAATAGTATACCTTGGTCGAGATGAGATACAGTCTCCCATGGATGTTCCCCTATGAAGCACCTGTCAGTAGGTGTCACACTTCATGGGTTTTTTATTTGGGTGCCTACTAAAGGGAGTTCATCTAGGTTTAATGTTTGCACCAGCCCTTCTACCATTTCAGTGTCGGATTATAGTTATCCTGTGTGAGGAGGTGAGATATTGTCTCAGGTTAACATTTTCCTCACATGAAAATATATTTCTTATAAACACTTACCTCTACATAACCATCTTCACCACTTCCAATGCACTTTCTTCTTGCCTCATCTAAGAATGAAGTTAATTCTGTGCAAGTGCTTAGGGGGAGCTACTGGGCAAGGATGTAACCCTCCTATTGGTGGAAGGCTATTGTTGTATGTTAATGACTTCATGCACTAGCACACTTCATGATAAATACATGTTTTAGGTGGGAAGTAGCTCAAGACTAGTGGTATGCATTTCTCATAGGTTACAGAAAGATTTTATTTGATATATCTAAGTAAAATAATTTTTTTCACATAGTTTTATATTGTATGCAAAAATGAAAACTTCTATTGGACAGAAATTATTATTGTACATCACTTAATTATAACTTTAGATGCCAGATTGATGCAAAGACAAGCTTGTTTGAGTTGGGGGGAATGACGTAGCAGCTAGGATGGGCAGTTGTCTGTCTGGTACTTGAGACTTAGTAACTCATTTGATTAGAGCTATAGATCCTAGTTTGAAGCCCCACTCAGGGCTTTTTATTTTAGCATCATTTTGCTTGTTTGTCTACATATTTTGTCTGTTTTATTTTTCAGACTTACCACAAAGTATCATGTAGTCTGTCTCTTTAAGATTGATTCAAACTTTCCACAAGCAATTTTATAATAACAATTCTAATTTTGATAGTACTAGAAATTTACAGTTGAAACATTTATTTATGAATCCTTTAAGAAACAAAAAGGCAGTATAGTTATGTTTCATTCTAATTCTTGAATCTTCTTGACAGGCTTATTATAGGCAGGGGGTGGCCTTGCAGTGTCTTGGCCGCCATGCTGATGCATTGGCAGCTTTTTCTTCTGGCTTAGCTCAGGACCCCAAAAGCCTACAATTGTTAGCTGGTTTAGTTGAAGCAGCCATGAAGTCTCCACTTAGAGGTATATAAAGTTTATATTTTCTGTTGTTTTTTTATTTTTCATTGGGTTTTTCATGCAGTCTAATTAATTTGCATTTATTAATACAACTTCTTTTTTTATCCAAAACAAGACTAATTCTCAATTGGATTGTTTAAGATAAGTGTATGCTGTTTTCTGAAATTTTGAAAATAGGTGTTGTCTCTGACATATATTTAAGTTAAATTAATTTATTATAATTTTGATTTTAAATTAACATTTTAAAATGTTCAGGGATATGACAACAAAAAGTTATTGTATATTATTTATTGTTATGATTATTTTGCATTGTAAGCTTAGCATATGGATTTAAGACTAACTAATTCTCCTAAAGTAGTCAAATCTTACGAGATATTTTGAGTTTATGGCTGAAACTACCATTAACAATGAGGCTACCTAATTGATCAATCAGTGCATTCTAATAATGTTTTTTGTCTTATGTACTTGCATGCACATAGCTACAAGGGTGTATTAAATTAACTCTGTTAATTACAGGTTTAATTTTAGTTCTGATTTGTCTAGGTAGCTTGCTTTGATCAGAAGTTCATAATGATAATTTATTGAAGTTGTTTTCAAATAAGAAACAAAATTATTAAAAATTTGTAAATACTTAGGTGGTCTTACTGTATTTTATAATCACTGGATGCTCTCCAATTCTGTGTGGGTTAAAAAAAAAGGTAATATTGCCACAAATTAATTCTTCAGTACCTAACCAAAATACAATTATCTGTTAAAAAATAATTTTAGGTCTTATAATTTACTTTTTTTATATATATATCTGCATTTATTGTACCCATCTCGAACACTTGCCAAAATTCTCAGTGAAAATGTCAACTTTTTCTTATCAGCCACATTGGAGCCTACCTATCGACAGCTGCAAACTATGAGACTTGACAAGTCACCATTTGTTATAACATCTGTGATTGGTCAAGAGCTTCTTGCATCTGGACATCATGCTGCTGCTGTTGTTGTTCTTGAGTCAGCGCTTCGTATCGGGACATGTAGCTTGAAGCTAAGAGGGTCAGTTTTTTCAGCATTGAGTTCTGCATACTGGGCACTGAATAGTCTTGATCGAGCCATAGCTTACATGCAGCAGGATCTCACTGTAGCCAAATCATTAGGTAATGCAATGTGGTTGTTCTTTATGAGGTGTATGAACTTTTTGCTGTAATTCAATTTAATTAAAACTAAAAGTTAGCACTAAAATATGTATTTTGCTCTCAGAATTAATCTTAGAATTCATTCCAGTATCTTTTGATATGGTAGCTTAAAGTCTTTTTGTAAGTGTGTTATCTTAGAGTCACAGTCTTTGTGATGGTTCTATTAGTTGTTGAATTGTTGCAGGGGACCAGGCTGGTGAGTGTAGAGCACATGGGAACCTGGGTTCTGCTTACTTCTCAAAGGGTAATTACAAGGAAGCATTGACTAGTCACCGCTACCAGTTGGTGTTAGCCATGAAGAACAAAGACACTCAGGCTGCTGCTTCAGCTCTCACTAGCTTGGGTAGGTGGTTTAACTCTCTCACTATGGGCTCAGTCCCAGGGACGGACCTCCTAACCATTTTGTGCTTGTTATAGTTTTCATACTATAATTTTGATACGGTATATGTATCTTCACGAATTTTGCAGATTATCAGTAAACTTTACACGGTTTTGTATACAAAATATCTAATTTTTTATTCAGTTTTAAGATTTTTTAAGTAATGATTTGCTCTTGCATTTTAAAAATTTTTTTAATGTTGACTGCCCTAACATGCAGAATAATTTTTATTTTAAGATTTAAAAACTATTATGCATCAAAAAAATTGTCAAATTTCACATGCAAAATCTTTATAACTTCCTAATTACATCCAGATAATTATCAAACATTTTTGTTTAGAAAAACTTTACATTGTATTTCTGTATGGGTTTGGTCAATTTGACCAACTTTGTAACCACCATAAAAAATTAGGAAATAAATAAAAATTACACTTTTTTCATTTTAGAATGACTTCAAATTATAACAAGAAACCAGAAATTTTTAGTCTAAATAGCTTAAATCTCATAAAATTATTCATCTATGTGTGTATATTTATTATTTTCATTTTACTGACCATCCAGCTATGCCTGGCTAACATTACAGAAGTTGCAATGAAGCTGTGCACATTACTGTATCCAATAGTATAAGACTGGCCTTTGAAAAGTGACCTGTCTCGGCTTTGTTCTAATGGATCAGTATTCTGTAAAATGTGTGTGTATATAT